GTATAAGGTGCATGAGATTTAATAGTGGCCTTACTGGTACACTTACCATGAAGGTACAAAATGGAAAATAATCAAGACAAAATGCTGCATGTACAGCAATAGCCAGAATTGAAAGGCATCTGTCTCTTGACCTCAAAGGCACTAGAATGGAAGGATAGTTTATTATTGCACCTTAGTTACTCAGGGCGACTGTGACCTATAGGACTTTTAACTGCTCTGAAGAACAAGAGACACATACATTTCAATGAAACTTTTTCATAAGAACTTTGATGAAGGCTATGGCCTAAGCTTATGGGTTAATGGGAAGAAAATCACATCAATATATAACACTTTTAGATTCATGTCCCAACATTAAAATATTGGCACTGTGACCCTGCCTAGCTAGGAAGGGGAGATCAATTCCGGTAGAATCTCTATGTGACTTTGGAGAATAATAGCTTGACCTTCAGCGACATGCAGAGTTTTATCATCACTTCAGTTAAAAAATGATCACTTGTACATTTATAGGTAAAAGGCTTCATATTAACGGTCTTAAGGGAAACCATAGAATTACTGGAACCTTTTTGTTTTTCAAAGAAGCTGCTTAGGGCAGGGGATTTAGCTCAGTAGTTCTGCAGCCTGCCTCATAAGCGCAAGGACCTGAGTTAGATCCCTGGTACCAAAAAAAAAAAAAAAAAAACCAAAGAAGCTGATGAAAGAGAATTTAGCCAAGTTAGGCACCCAGCATACTAAAATTCTCAATATAGACTTCATCATAAATTGGCATCCTTTAGTTGGCAAGTCAAGAGTAGATGCAACTGCATTAAATGCATGAAATGCACGGATGGGCTTATGTTTTCCCCTCCATTTCCAGTTTGCACACTTCAGGCCTAGCTTTGACTTCGCTGGAGAAGTCTATCTTCAATAAACATACAAGCCCGTCTCTCTATGATTTCTGTCTTTAGCTGGTGACACACGGTACACAGATGTATTTAAAATTCTTAGAAGCTATAAAAAATCTACTGAACCTAGCTCTTCTCTGACTGTGCAGATCAACATTTTTTTAATAATCATGTCTAATGTGCCAGGTATTAAGTTGTTTAGGAGAACTATATCTTTAACATTCAGAATAAACTTATATGGGATGTATTATTGCTGTCTGCATTCTGAAGATGAGAAAAATGACGTTCAGGAAATGTAGTTTTATGAAAGTTAATGTATCATTAAATGATGAAGCTAGGAGTCCAAGTTCTATAGCTTTGCCCCATATCGATAGTCTTTTGCCCTCCAAGTTACTCCTGCCTCACTTAGAACAGTTTTGCAACTGTATCCAGTAGTATGGTTTTTTGCAAAATTTTTGAATTTTCTATTTTGAAGTTTGTACTGGAAGCACAATACAGTGTTTTCAAGAGAGAGCTTATGTAACTTGGTATTTTGATCCCTGGGTTTGTGGGGAGGAGAACGACTAAGCCATTTTTGTTTCTGTAGAAATTCTATTCTTAAAGAGAGAAGAGAATTTCAAAGTGGAATATGAAATACAATTATGACAGAAAAGCAGGATTTTGCAAAGAATTCTTAAGAAAGATAAAGCAGTGGAAAAGCCAGACACTTGAACAGCCCTCTGAAGTTCTCTAGGGGGAAATTGAGAGGGGGGAGGGGTGATGTTTTTTCTTACAAATCACAAGAATGCTAATAAGTTCTAATTATTCAATTATTATTTTACGGAAATACTTAAAAATGCTTTCATTATAGCCTTCATTTTGTGTGCCCTTTTTATTCACACATTTAGCCCACAAACATTTCCTCATAAGGTCTCAGATATATTCACAGATCACAGCAGCCTTCTTTCATTCTAGGTTTGTTCCTTTAAAGTCCTCCAATTGTGAAGGTCTTAGGAATGTGGCTGTGAATACCTGGTGTGGGTGTCCAGGTGCGCTGTGTCTGTTGTTTCCTAAATGCAGGATGTTTTTGAGCCAGTGGCCTTTTTTATGTCACTGCTTCACTTTGAGCATAGACTTCTTGGTCTTATCTTCTCAAACTTCCAGTAGTCCTTGAAGGTAACTAAATAAGATCTTGCTTTCTCTGTTGTGATGGATTCTAGATTAGGTTTTCCTTCTCTGAGCTTCAGTGGCACCTGGTGCTTGCATATGTGATGACATTTTCACAGTGAACAGAAATAGCCTGTCTCCCAGTGTGAGAAATCTGTCTTTTTCAGTGAGATTCTGTATGATATGATAAGGATGTTGACTTGGGAACAAATCCAGCCAGATTGAAATCATGACTGTTTTTATCTAAGAGACATATGCACCTCAAATTTCCTGTGCCTCAGCGTCTTTATCAGAAACATAAGAACAATCAAGGTATCTACTTGTAGTCTGTAAGAGTACCGCGTAGTTGTTTTAATTTATGTGAAAAGGTTAGAAAAATACTTGATACACAGAAGGTGGTCAGTGTTAGTTGAGATCACTAACTTGACTTCCTGTGACAGGGGACCCTCACTAACCTGCGTGACTTTGTTCCCTTACAGCTCATCGTCTCCACTGATGACAAAAATTGTCCTCTGACTTGGGTGTGCATGTTTGTAATCCTAGCATCTGGGATGCTGAGGAAAGAGATACACAAGTCTGAGCACAGCTTGGGTGACACAGTAAGATCCCATCTCAAAGAAAAAAAGGATAACTAAAATGAAACAATGGAAAGGCCTCGGTTCAATCTGCAGTACCGAAAAATATTTGAGATCTAGGTATTATAAGAATGGAGAATGCTTATGTTCCAAGAAGAGATGGTCTGTACACTCTCACAATACTCGCCACTTCTACCTGATAGATGGAGTTACAGTATTCCTGTCCTGCGTCTTCCATGAGTAAGTTAAGCTTTTAAGTTTAGGTGAATCTCTCCTTTCTTAGTGCCTAATATGATGTTTTGTGCATAGTAGAAACAAAAATATTTTTAAATGAAACTATACAAATCAATAAAGAATCAAAAGAAATAAGTCTGACACTATGCAAGGGTTAACTTGGGTTGTTCTACAAATTAGCCACCGTGAACATGAAGCACTCAACATTCTCAGAAGTCAGAAACCTTAAAATTGTAAAATATAACTTCATAAAATTCCATTATGATTCCAGATACTATAAAAATCAAATATATTCCCACCCTCTGAAATCTTAATTTAACAGAACAGTTAAGCATTCCGTATTTATAGGCTTCATTGCCTTATGGTAGGTAGAGATTTCTTGGTAAATATTCAGGAATCGACATTTGCTCTCAAGGAACTTGCAAGTGTTTAATGTCATTTATCTCTCTTAACCACACTTTAAATATACTTTTATGATCCATCAAAAAAGCCCTGCTCTAATACAAATGACATATTCTGCTTGCCTATATACAATACATTTTGTGCAATATCCCACAGAGAAAAGCTTACTTTTAAAAATTATTTAGTTTTCGGTGTTTGCTAAATATCAGAAACCTTATACTGTGTCTAATCAAACATTTGAAAAACATGCGCTGACAGGCTTGTATAGAAAATTAAAAGAATATAAACCTGGGCCAGGGATTTAGTTCAGTGGTTTCGCGGCCTGCTGTGCAAGTTCAAGGACCTGAGTTCGATCCCTGGTACCAAAAAATAAAAATAAAAAAAGAATATAAACCTATTAAAACTTCTAATTAGATCTAATATTTTTACACAATTTAGCAAATCACAGTACTTATTGATAGAAGTAAAAATTATTCTCCTTTAAGTAATAATTGTCATTGATTTAGGTAATTTAGGGTTTAACCCTTACTCTTTTACATGATGCCTTTTTTGAGGACACCTAGTGTCAGCCAAAAGACCTCCCCTGCTTTCTTATCTTGTTCTCTACTTTATTTTTATTTCAGATCATTGCTTTAGATCCTCACTTGTCTTCCACATGTGTTCAAAAATAAAGGGCAAAGTGGCAACAGAATTTTAGATCTCAACTTTTAAACTCCTCTATCCCTTTTTCTCTTGCATTTTCTACAAACCTCCTCCTCATATATTGTGGTTTATTTCCTGAAAAATTCTGCTCATTTCCAAGACAAAGTTCAAAGGGTCCCCTGTAGATAGTGTCAACATCTCCACACCAAGGTCAAGTTACTTCTTCCTTAGAAACTGCCATCATCCACTATTGCCATGACATTTCAAGTACTGGTTCAAGCTTCTTATGTCATATATATATATATATATATATATATATATATATATAAAATCTACACAGGAGTCTCAGGAAATGTGCTTAATTGTAATACTTATTTTATGGCTACATAGATAGTGGCTTTAAAAGGTTAATTAACTTGTTGAGTTTATTAACTCAAAGAAACTTTGATTCAAATCCTGGTCTCCATGACTCCAAACTCTGAGTTCATATCCACCAAACTATGCAAAATATTGGTAAAGTAAACTAACCCAATATTCTAAAATTATCTATCCCACGGTTCTTCTGCATCTGGGCAGTGAGATCATTGAGGAAATAAACATACCATTTCATTTGGTGCCTAGAACCTTAGCTTTTAAATAGTATCTGAAGGATGGATTGATGGGCTGGTGGTTACAGAGAGATCTATGAAAGGTGTACTAGGTAGACATTCTCATTCTTTATTTTCTGTTCTTTCTTCTGTAATGTGAATTGTAAAATGCCTCTGAGAGATAGGTAAATTTGGTCTGCAATGTTTAAACCATCAATATCTATTTTCTTGATGACACTGAAATTTACTGGTCAGGTTTATTCCTTGAGGTATCCATACTTACCTTGAGAGATATGTTAAAAACTGCAGAAAAGACTGAATCCACAGTTATATATAATTTTGTTCATTAAATTGGTCTCAGTAGCTTTCTGAGAAACTGTGGTGAAATAGAGCCAAGTGCTTCCCCTAAATAACTCAGGGCAATCTCTCATGTGCTCCTTAGCTCCTACCCTCCTTTTCCATATATAGAAAGATAATCATATATTTATGTAGTGCCTTTTATAGCTCAACATGTATTTCAAAGTGTTACTCACTTTGGAGAGGCTTTGTTGTGATTACCGATTTGGCATTCTTTCCAAAGGTAAAACTGCAGCTGGCATCTATACATTTTCCCAGGACAAACTCTGTACACCTGGTGGATTTGAAATTGAAAACACATCGGTTTTAGATCCATGCTAAACTCAAAGTTTGGGAAATTGAGAATGAGAAGAAAAAAGTTAAGGAATTCAACTTTAAAGGTAATAATTTAGAACTTTCAAGAAAATGTAATTGTTATAAAGTATTTTCTTATTAAAATGTATAATTCACTAGTCATAAGGAAAGGTTTTGGATCATTTATGACTGTATATGAAGTAGTATATTTACAATGTCTAATTTCTAAAGGTGAGAAACCAAAAATCATTATCAGAAGGAAAATACGCAGACTCAGAATTTATGATGTTAATTACTGGAGTTGAAAATGTACTTTACAATGAATTTTCTGGCAGCCAAGTTCAAGAAGGAAGACATTTGGTTCTAGGCTTCAGTGATAAAAGAAAATAAGATGATCATGAGAAGAGATAATTTCCCCTTGTGCCCTGCACTAGGAGGAAGTTATCATGGGCAAAGCCAACAGTGGAATTGGTTTTGCTAGGGGGAGGGGGCTGGGCGTGTGCCCTTGGGCACTGTAACCAGTCCTGGGCTCCTGCTGTCCAACTCACTCCCTTTCCCTGCTTCCTGGCTGTCATGAGGTGAGCAGCTTTATCTGGCCATGCCTTTCTACTATGATGATACTGCCAGAGGTTTAAAAGCAATGGAGCCAGCCCACCATGGGTAGAAATCTCTGAAACTATGGAACAAAGTAAATGTTTCTTCCTTTATACTGTTTTCCTCAGGCATTTTGTCAGGTAATGGAAAGATGAATATACCATTAGCTATCCTGGATATCTCTCTTAGGGCTCAGTCACTTCTTTTGTTCCACTCTCAGAAACAATCAAGCTCCTGAAATTTTAGAATAGCCATTCTTTTATTATACTTTCAAGTTTTCCCTTATATCTGTGTATTCCTAAATATGATACTGTTTCCCATGTTTTTTAAACTCACATACATATAATCATACAAAATACATTTTTCTGCAATATGCCTTTATAGTAAATTTTATGCTTGAAATTCATCCCTATAGATACATTTAACTGTAGTTCAGTGATTTTCATTACTGTGGATAATTCTGTAATATAACTATAGTGCCTCGCCATTTGACTGCTATAATCATTTGGTGTTCTTCCCTAGTTTGTTTTCTTTTACTATTATAAACAATGCTTCTATGAACAGTCTAATCTATGTCTCCTGATGTACATGTGTATCAGTGGGGCAAATTCCTTTGGGTACATTTGGGTCAAAAGTATATACAGTAGATACCACAACTCCCCACCTGTCCTGGAGACAGGTGCTGTTCATATTGGATTAATCAGAATCCTTCAGTAATGAAACACTCATAAAATATATTTTAAGTAGGTATTAATATTTTTCCCTTTCCTATATAATGCAAAATTGTTTTATACAATGGCAATACAATTTACATTTTACCAGTAGTTCTTGTGCTTTACATTCTAGCCAATTTCTCTAAATCTGGTGGATAAGATGTTGTATTATTTCAGGGTCACTGTTACATGAGTTTACCTTGTTTCTAAGCAAGTTGAGCATATTTTATTAGTTTATTGTCTATTCATGTTTCTTAATTTCATCTTTAATGCTCAAACAATGAAATGTTTCACATATCCCTATTAAAACAATAAAGATAGGTACATAACTAAAGTACCTTGCAAAAGTCTTTGTAAAAAGCAAGTATTTAACACATGTCAAAAAACTGCCCTTAAGTGAAATAAATAGGATACACGTCTGAAAATACTGAATTGTTTCTCTAGTATGAGAAACAGAAACTGTAAATCAGGAACAAAATGTATAATTGATAATGTAAAATCGGTAGAAAAGGTCTAAAGGTGTAGGGGAAGTGGGAGCAGTTAGGGAAAGGAAAGAAGGGAAAGGAAAAAATATGAGAAAAAGAAAATAATGGAAACAAAGTCTTTGTAAAGAGGGAGAGGTGGAAGGGTTTGTGGGAGGGGAGGGAAATGGGGAAAAAAATAAGAACCAAGATATATCATGTAAAGGTGAAAGTTCCCAGAGATGAATGTATCTGTATTGTATACCTAAAATGTACTGATAATCTTAATGAAAAAAAATTGCCCTTCTCTATTCACATCACAATTAGGAAATATTTGATAAGCTGAGTGATAACACCCTTCCCTGATGCCTGCAAAAACGTTATTCAAATAAATATCTGTAAAGAGCTGAAGTTAAATTGTCCTATTAAATTAATGTTTTGTGTTTCAATTTTACAAAGAGAAAAAGCTTAAAATTAAATAAACCAGGACTTGGCCAATGAGGAAGGTATTCCAAAAGAAATGTCAGAAACTGTAGGGGCTTTATTTACTTAAATTTTTTTTTTTATTCTGACAGCTTAGTGGCATCCTTTATTATTGTTTGTTTGTTTTGGGGGGAGTTCTTTGTTTTTGGTACTGGGGATCAAACACAGAACCTTATGCTTTCCAGGCAGGCGGCAGCACCACTGAGCTAAATCTCCGACTCCTTTATTATTAATCAAATATCACAACTAAGATAACATTACAATGACCAGTGAAAGTCTTTAAAAGACAATTTCTTTTCAAAGAATACTTATTATAACCCATCAAAGTTGTAAACAAAATAGTACCAATAAAAGGGATAGCTCCCTCCTATAATTGTAAGAAAAATAATGTATTCAAAGAAGGTAGAAATATGAACTCAAAAATACTAAGGAAAGAAACTGAAACATTATCTCACAAACTCCGTGAATACCTTTCAGAATATTTCCAGCCATATTCTCACCCCTAAAACTTAATCCAGTCTTCCTGTTCCAAATTATCTTCGCTTGATAACCAGTATAGCTTGCGTTCAATATTGAAAATATATGACTGAATTTAATTATTTTGATGGGGAATGGAGATACACACATGGTTACACCTAATTGTTAGGTGCAACCACAGATATACTTTAAACTCTATCTAAAGCAGATAAATGCTAAATCAGGCTTAACTTGGCAAAATCAAAACTGAGATAAAAGATTAAAAACAGGATAACATGAGAATAAAGAGAAAACACAATTTTCCCCTTGGTATACTCCTAGCTCACTGTATTTTGTGAACTTCACTATTTTCTTCCTTTGAAAGAACACTACATTATGGATAACAATGTAAAGCAGAACTGCTATACAAATCTCTAATGCAATGTGCAACATGGCTGCTAAAATAGGTTTGCTGGAAAATTTTTTTTCTAACTGTATATCCTTTTATTGGTACATTTTAGATATACGATATAATGACATTCACCATTGGAAATTTGCTCCTTTACTTACTCTCTTGGTTATTTTTTCCCCCTTCCCCTGCCCTCCCTTCCACCCCTCCAACATTCCCTATTTATAAAAACTTTGTTTCCTTTTTTTCATTTTCTGATATTACATTCTCTTCTTTCCCTGGCCCTACCCCTCCCTACCTCCCCTTCCCCTTTGCCCCTTTTCTTCCTATTTCACATTATCTATTACATCTTTCGGTCCTGATTTACACTTTCAGTTTCTCACACCAGAGAAACTATTCAGTATTTATACATGTGCATCTTATTTATTTCACTTAAGAGTATTGCCTCAGTGTGGATCCGTTTAGCAATAAATGTCTCTAATTTCTCATTTTTTATGGCTGAGTAGTACTCCATTTTATAAAAAAACCCACATTTTCTTTATCCAGTCTCCAGTTGATGGGCATTTGGGTTGTTTCCAAGTTTTAGCTATTACAAACTGTGCTGCTATGAACATGGGTGCACGTATATCACTGTGGTAAGATTCTTTTAATTCTTTGGGGAAGATACTGAGCAGGGGAATAGCTGAGTCAAATGGGACTTCCAGTCCTAGTTCTTTGAGGTATCTCCATGCTGATTTCCACAGTGGTTGCACCAATCTACACTCCCACCAGCAGTGGAGCAGGGTTCCTCTTTCCCCACATCCCTGCCAGCATTTGTTATTGGTTGATTTCTTGACAGCAGCCATACTTTCTGGGGTGAGATGGAATCTCAGCATTGTTTTCATTTGCATCTCTTGAATGATCCATGATGTTGAACATTTTTTCATAGTTTTGCCATTTCTACTTCTTTGTATGAGAAACGTCTGCTCATTTCAGATGCCCATTTTTGGATGGGGTCTTTAAATTTGGGAGGTCTGATTTTTTTAAGTTCTTTATAGATTTGAGATGGTAGACCTTTGTCTGAGGGACAGCAGGTGAAAATTTTTTCCCACATTGTGGGTTGTCTCTTCACACTGCTGGTGGTTTGTCTTGCTGTGCAAAAGCTTTTTAGTAAAAAGAGATTCCACTTGTTGATTGTTTGTGCTAGTTCACAGGCAACTGCGGTTTTGTTCATAAAATCTTTTTCTACACCAATGCCTTCAACAGTTCTACCTAACCTCTGTTCCAGACAGTTCAGCATTTCTATTTTCTGTTTTAATATTTAAATCTTTAATCCATTTCGATTTTAGTTTAGTACATGGAGATAGGAAACTTTTCTTATGCAGCATGGGTTTCTCTGGGTCCACTGGTCCATTTTATGGAGAGTTAAATAATGACCAAAGATGAGAAAAAGGCAAGGTAAATGCACTGATGCCACAGATTTTTTTTTTTTGCAAGGGGGTGTGTGTTTTATATAAATGCCTTGGTTTAAAAATTGCTTAAGGGACATGTGCTAAATTTTGTGGAGATGAAAGAGAAATGGAGGTGGAAAAGCTGAAAGAGAAGAGTAAACAAAAGTGGAAATATGGCCATATTTATTTCTGTAGTTAATCTTTAAGGCACAAATAAATGTAAATGTCAGAGTTAGAACGGATCGGGGAGGGATTCTGCAGATTGTTTTCCACTTAACCACTCAGGAGAAGAAATAAGAGAAAAAATGAATAGATCCTTTCTGTGTTCAAATTAATCTATTTTAAACTGGCCAATTTGCTCTTTATTTACTTGAGTTTTGTTTAGACTAAGTTTAAAGCAATTAACTATGATCCTACAGAAGCCTTCTCAGCAG